TTATATGCAATAATTAACACGTTTGTGTGTACTTAGTCTTGTTCTAGCTTTTCCAGCAGCTTTATGTCTGCTCTTTGTAAACATTATGTATCATATGAGCCATGCAGGTTAGTGATTTGAAAGGCAACTTGGATACCATTAATGCTGCTTCACGAGAGGTACATTTAAATTAAGCTCATAAGATAATATTGTTGGCCGGACTCATTTCCCAGCTCTTAGCTTATTTATCTGTCTTGCCAATACTTATAGGTAAGAGAATCTGTGAAGTTGAGACAAATAATGCAGACTATTCTGACTTTAGGAAATGCATTGAATCAAGGCACTGCTAGAGGTAGAGATTATGTATGATAATTTTTTTTGGTAATTATAATATGTCTAAGTTGATCATCATCTTCTGAAAAATTTCATATTTAAACTTGTGTACCAGGTGCTGCTGTTGGATTCAAACTAGACAGTCTTCTTAAATTGTCTGATACACGTGCCAAAAATAATAAAATGACTTTAATGCATTACCTGTGTAAGGTATGTAGCTGAAAGTATATTGGTATTTTTGGTAGTTTTAAAGTTCCTTTATTGTGTAATGTGTCATACTGATCTTAGACTTTTTTTAAGTCATTGCTTACAAATCACCACTGTTTTGTGTAAATCAACATTGTCAAACCCTCTACTGCTTTTTGGCAAACTGTTCTGAACCTCTACCACTGCTCTTTCTGTTGTCACAAGCTCATGAGTTCACCTTAAAATGGGGATCCAATACATTTTATGAATACTGACATTGTATTCATTGGATCTTTTGCCTAAGCAGAATGGTCTTATACTCTCATCCCATAGTTAAAAGAAATTATACTACGTATCTTTGATCTTCTTCCTTCTTATAATGAAAAATAATTTTAATTGTTTTTGCTTGCTGCTAGGACAATTAATATTTCTATGCTGTTGACAACATAAATATTGAAAATAGTGTATTTGTTTTTTTCAAGCTTCTAGCTGAAAAAATGCCGGAGTTGCTGGATTTTGACAAGGATCTTGTTCACTTGGAAGGAGCTTCAAAGGTTGGCTTATTATGCTACACCTTAGCACATTTACATCTTATTAGTTCTTCTGTAGTGTGTAGTCTGTTTTGTCCATAGTTTTTTTTTTTTTTTACTAATGTGCTGCTCTGGCCTTCGCTTTTAAAATCAGATACAATTGAAGTCATTGGCTGAAGAAATGCAAGCTGTGAGCAAAGGCCTTGAGAAGGTTGAGCAGGAACTTGCTGCATCAGATAATGATGGAGCTATCTCTGCAGGCTTCCGGCAGGTGAAAGGAAAAACTTTAGTTGTTGCTATCTAAAGCTTTGTATCGTTTCATATTTCAGAAGTATATTCCACCAGGTGTAGCCTTGAATTTAAAATAATGTGCATTGTCAATTTGTAATTTGCTGGCAAGCCTGCCAAGCTTGAGATCCCTTGTTTCAATATTTTGACTATAACTATAATGCTGAAATAGCACAAGATAGCCCAAGAAAAGAAAAGCCTATCAAAAGGGTAGTTTGATAAAGTAAAGGGTTGTTGAAACAGGAAACTGCCATGTGTTTGAGGATTTCCGTAATAGAATATGACATAGGCACATAGCTGATGATAATGAGGGAAATTTCTTGATGTTTTTGCAAACTGGCTTAATGCTCTTAGGCATTTAAGTCTATTGTATTAGGATACAGTGTTTTAGCTCTTGGGCAAGTGAGGCTGAAATTTCAGACTGAAGGCTTGGAACTAAATTTGGGGAAGAAAGCTAAGAAGTAATTTGAAAAGCTCACTGGCAGGGTGAACACCAAAGTCAAGATATTTAGTGCTGTTAAACTGCAAGGATTTATCATGCTGAAACTTGCATCATGTAAAAATTTTGAGTCTTGTACATAGACCAAATGATATAGGCCACATTTCTGAATTTAGAAAGATTTAGCAAAACATTAAACTTACATATTTGTAATGCTAGTGCAAAGAACTATTGCAGTATATTCATTTTAACTTCTGGGTGAATGACCAAGCTTATGGTTCATGCTTGTTTGAGTATTAGCTATGAAACTTCCCAAGATCATGCTATTCTGACATCAGACTATCAAAGAAGATACATGGAGAATATTGACAACTAACCTTGGATTCAACATTTTATTGTTCATTATCTTTATGTTATCAATTGAATTCAAGGCTATCACTTTCATGCTTTTTAATTTCTGAACTATTATTTCCATGCCTATTTATTTAGGTTGTTTTTTCTGTCCTTGCATATTGTGTACAGTTTGTTAGGATTGAAATGTACTGTTTACATGATAGTCATAATTCTTGGCTATACAATTATCAATGTTTAATTTAATAAATATATCTACAAATTTGAAATATAATTGTCATGTTGCTTTGTCAGGTTTTAAAAGGCTTTCTATATACAGCTGAAGCTGAAGTCAGGTCTCTAACCACATTGTATACAGAAGTGGTAGGTCCTCTGTACAACTGAAATCGGTGAGAGTTTTAACTTTATGAAATCTGATTTGTGTTTCATAATACGATTGCAGGGAAGAAATGCAGATTCGCTTTGCCAATACTTTGGGGAGGATCCTGCTCGGTGTCCGTTTGAGCAAGGTTTGATTTGACATACTTATTGACTCTGTTGGTCTCTTTTTCTAAATGCGAATTGCAGATTTATGGCTATATTATTTTTCTATATTAATGAGCCTCAATTGACAACTTTGAAGGATGTCTGACTTTGCTAAGCTACTTGCAGTGCTTTGAACTTGTTAGATTCTCTTAGGAAGCAGTGATAAAATGGCTGGCTTCCACAAACCAAGGAAGAGAAAACAGGAGATTAATGATTTTGAATTTAGATTAAACGGTAACTGGTTAGGCTGAATAGTCTGTTGGTAGCACTTTGAAACGACCTTTTACATGAAGTATGGAACGACTGATATACTGGTCAATATAGACCCCTGCTTATACCTACAAAACCTGTTGGAATTATTGAGTCTTCAGGCTATGGCTTTTCTTTCCAGAGTCTAAATTTTTTCAGCTAGTATTAAAAGATAAATGTTATATGTGTGTCATCAACCACACACAAGTAGTCAACCAATGTGGGATGTTGGGGCTCGATGGCGCACAGATTGTGAAGCAGGAGATTATGTGTGGTATTAACCCATATTTTGCGAAAAGCAGAAAACACCTAGGTTTTCCCTATAAGAAGTAGTGGGTATAGCATTCCTTCACATAGCCTACATTAAGCAACATGTCTTTTGTCACAAATTCTGACTGTAGTTCTTGAAAAAACTCAAGCTTGTATCTCCACTCATATTTTATTAGCATTTTTCATGCCTACACTATACCTTATGTGCTCATGTTCTTCACCTTGATGGCTGAAAATTTTAGTTTCTCTGGAGTTTCTACTCATCTCTCTTCTGACCAATAACATGTTAAATTCTCACTACTATCTTTGATTGATACTTCGAGAAAATTTTCACATTTTGGCCCCTGCATACGTGTATCAAACTATCAATGTCCTGAAAATGCTTGCTTGTTGAATAACTGATATTTTCCTGCTTATTTGAACCGAATTATCTGACCCAGACCTTATTGTTTTTGCAATATAATAAATTTGATGACTCAAACTATAATCCACTTAAAACCAACCCAAAAGCTAATATGACTAATATTGATTAGTTATCATAGATTTGATTATCAACCTCTAATATTTTTCCACCTCAATTGACTAGAATTGAAACAAATGACTCAACATCCAAATTTGGCTAAAACCAAACCCACTCTAAACCTTTTCCTCCTCTAATATTTTTCTGTTTTTTTCTGCAGTGACACAAATACTGTTCGTCTTTGTGAAGCTTTTCAACAAATCTCGAGAAGAGAATGCACAGCAGGTTGAAGCCGAGAAGAAGAAATTGGAAAAAGAAGCTATGAAAGAAAAAGCAGCTGCCACTTCTGCTGCAAAAAAGGATGGATTGGATCTTAACAGGTCAAAACTTAATCCTGTAAATAGAAGACAATCAACACGAGAGATTGAGAGGTGAAATAAATAATGAAAGAGATTGAGAGATGGAAGCTCCTCCGTCCTTCGACTTTTAAAGATTCTGGCTTGTGTCCAGAAGTCAGGATCTCTCAGATCATGCATGCTGAGGACCGATTCACATGAAGCCAGTTAATGCGGTTCTGCTCCTAATACTCTTTAATCTCAAGGGTTCATGACTGGTGCAAAATATCTCAAAGAACAGAAGTGAGTTCCTGCAACTACTGCCTACAAGTCAAGTCATTACATCGCTTGTTAGGCATCTTTTCTTGCCTTTTGATGCCCCTGCAATTTTTCTTCTTCATATCTTTCATTATTTGTTCATCTTTTCAATTGTTTAGAACATCAATGCTTACTGTGTATATCGGGTGTACATTCTCTGTAATTAAGCGTTAGCATAGTAATGAAATGGTGTACTCTCTTCTTCCCTTCATTCGTCTTCCCTTATTATTTCATTTGTATCGAGTTATAACAATTACTGTCAATATTATTACAGCAGTACACTATTCAGGAGAATTACTATCAGCCTGTGTTTCCGAGGTGTAGCTTACATGGCAACAATTTTTTGATATTCGTCGGCATTCTCTTTTGATCTAAGCTCCTATGCTTGTTTTTGGATTGATCACGTCGAGTCCTCGAAATGGTAATTAATTACATCAAATTACAACTATTAATTAAAAAAGGCATGAAAAGAGGTAAAGAGTACTTCATATTAAAAGTTGTTAATGAGAGAGTATCAGAAAGAATCTAAAGAATCTTGGCTCCACATTGAAGAAAAAACAAGTACTCCAATATTGATTTTTCTAAGTTTGGCTAAAAGTATCTTGATTGTGATTTGTGACTTCCCAATCATACAATCATAGAAGATTCCTTTCTCATTGATGCAACCAAAAGATCCCCCAAAAAATTTGTTGACTTTCTCCTCCAATCATTCAATGTGGAAGAACTCTCCTTTAATCCCGTAAATTTAAATGAACTGAAACATCCAATCCCGCTTATTTTATAATAATCGTATAATACCTCTTAACGTACGTAGAATATTAATATATTCCACTTTGATTAGACTAAAAAGTCCGATATTTGGAATTATTTAATATTTTTCCAACCATCCATCTAAATATATACTATCACTAATCAAGAAAACATAGTGTAGTATAACTAGTCAAGGTATCAATGGAAACAAAGTGTCCTCCATTTGGGTTTGCAGGGAAATATTACCTAAACTCAGAAGGTAGTTGTGTAAGGCAAACTAGCTTCTTTGGTGGAAAGCCAGTGCTAAATCAAGGTGTTGGCTACTCTGTTATTTTGGGTTTTGGTGCTTTCTTTGCCGTCTTTACATCTTTTCTGGTAAGTCACCCGTACTCATTTTTAACCGGTTGTCTCAACCTCGTTTGCTATGGTACGATAAAAAGGACCTTACTGGACTAGGCACCTCTCGGGTTAGTTTCATCTTTTCTGGTAAGATGGATCAATTTAATGATTTTTGTAACGGAATTGTTTGCAGGTGATTTTGTTTGGGATAATTGCAATAGAAATCAAGAGAAAAGCTCCTCATGCTCATACAGTCTGTGAAATTGTCAAGGCTAGGTTCGTAATATGTTACATGTACTCATTCAAAAAGTATGATGAAGCTGTGTTAATCTAATTGTTTTTCTCTATTGTTTTGTCTATAGTTTCACAGATGGGGAACAGCTGCTCACGTCGTGTTTTTAATCTTCTGTTTCCTCACAAACATTATAGTCACTGCAATGCTACTTCTAGGAGGTTCTGCTGTTGTTAATGCACTTACAGGAGTAGATCTGTATGCTGCTAGTTTCTTGATACCCCTTGGAGTTGTTATCTACACACTCGCTGGAGGACATAAAGCCACGTTTCTCGCAAGCTATATACATTCAGTGATCGGTACACCACTTTCAAGAAATTTTATCGCGTTTTATAGTAAATTATTGAATCATGTACATACACAGAAATGGTGCCATAAAATTAATTTGTCAGTTTATCACATACTGTTACATCAGTGACATTGGTTTACCAACATATTAATTTTTGTTTTTTTTGGTTGTAAATTGCAGTGCATGTGGTACTGGTAATTTTCGTGTTTCTAGTTTACACAGCAAGTAAAGAACTTGGTAGTCCTGCTGTAATATATGAGAGACTGAAAGAAGTTTCGAGCAGATCAAGACTATGTATGGAGCCTATTTCACATGATGGTCAATCTTGTGGTCCAGTGGATGGAAATTATAAAGGTTCTTACCTCACTATGTTGAGCTCAGGTGGACTTATCTTTGGGATTATTAACATTGTGGGAAACTTTGGGACCGTCTTTGTTGACAATGTAAGTACTAGCATACAGGTTTTGTTCATTATTGGTCCTATACAAGTGATAAAACTACGAAAAACTACACATGATCATATATTTGAACGAGTTAAATCAGTTTACTGCTCGAATATTATAATGTTACAGGGATATTGGGTTAGTGCAATAGCAGCAAGGCCTTCATCAACACATAAGGGTTATTTGTTGGGTGGTTTGGTGTGGTTTGCAGTGCCATTTTCTTTAGCAACTTCGTTAGGGATTGGGGCTCTTGCTCTGGATTTGCCTATTAATGCGAGTGAAGCTATCCATGGCCTTGTTCCTCCTGCTACCGCTGTTGCTTTGATGGGCACATCAGGGTCTGTTTTGATCCTCACTATGCTCTTCATGTAAGTAGCTAACAGGAAGCCGAGTTTTGTATATTATGATAACTTCAGTTAAGTCTACAATTCTAAATTCTAACAGGAAGCCATGTATTTGTTGGTTAGGGCTGTAACATCTGCAGGATCTGCCGAGTTGATAGCAGTCTCATCACTATGCACATATGATATCTACAGAACTTACATAAACCCAAGCGCGACAGGAAAGCAAATCCTCAAAGTTTCAAGAATAATAATCCTAGCATTTGGGTGTTTCATGGGAGTACTAGCAGTGATACTTAACAAAGCAGGGGTTTCATTAGGTTGGATGTACTTGGCCATGGGAGTTTTCGTTGGATCAGCAGTTATGCCCATCGCGTTTTCTCTCCTGTGGAGGAAGGCCAACTCCATAGGAGCCATCCTAGGAGTAACCATTGGTTGTACTTTGGGTGTCATTACTTGGGTGACAGTAACAAAGATCGAGTATGGGATGGTGAATCTTGATACAACAGGAAGAAACGCGCCTATGCTTGCAGGGAACCTTGTGTCAATTCTTAGTGGTGGAGCGATTCATGCTGTTTGTAGCTTCTTGTGGCCTCAGAATTATGATTGGGATACCACTAAGAAGATTAGCATGGTTGAGAAAGATAAGACCGAGATTTCTTCTGACGAGATTGAGGAGGAGAAACTCAAGAAGGCTAAGGCATGGATTGTGAAATGGGGTCTTGTTTTTACTGTTGTGATTGTCATCCTTTGGCCTGCTCTTAGCCTCCCTGCAGGTATATGAACTAGTCTTGCTCTTAAATTTTCGATAATCTACAAGGTTTAATTCAAATTTTTGATATTGAAATTAAATTTTGAAGATAAAATCACGAGTTTTATATGTGGACTATAAGTTGTTATGCTAACATTGTAACATGATGTTACACTTTCACCCAATTAATCGACGTAACAAAAAAAATTAGATGTGACTGTAAAGGGTGTTACCGTGTTACCTTAATAGTGTAACGTTTACTCCAAAAATCTTTCGTAACTTTACTAAGTTTTTTTTTTTTTTTTTTTTTTTTTTTTTTTTTTTTTTTTTTTTTTTTTTTTTTTTTTTGCAACTTAATGCAGGGGTGTTTAGTCTGAAATACTTCACAGTTTGGGTAGTCGTCGCAATAGCATGGGGAACTATAGGATCAGCAGTTATAATAGCAATGCCTGTGTTTGAGAGCTGGAAAACAATTCAAAGTGTATTGACGGGCATGTTCACAAACGATAGGCTAATCGAAAGGATAGAGGAGTTGAACTCGAAGATGAACACGATCATACTAGCAATCCCTGAAGCAGAGCGCCTTTACTTGCTTGAGAAAGAGAAGGCAAAGAAGAATGATTTGTTAGATGATCAAGTGCAAGAAGTTCATCATTTAGCTTGACAAACATTCTATAGTTATTGGATATTTGTCTAATGAATCAATGCACGTCTATTAGATCAGATCATACTCTGTATATTGTAATGTATTATTAAAATAATATACATACAAAATCATTGGGATAAAATGTTACCAATGAATTGAAATATAACTTGAATATACTAGAAAATTGTTTCTGCATACTTAGGTAACCCCTCCTGCGGAAGGTCAATGTAATTTTTCTTACATGACTTTTGCACCATGTATATCAACTTTAAGTAAATTTACTATCAGTACATAAAAACGAATTAATCTCTATATACTTTCTTTATATCAACTAATATTAAATGTAATTGCAAATATCAAAAGTTACAGTTGTGTATTGGCACATATATAAGTCAAACTGTTACGTTTAATATGAAACGGAAAGAGTATATATTTTGAGAAAATAATTATTACTCCATCATAAATAAAATTCTAGGTAATAGGAGTACTAAAGTTTCTTCACCATTTTCTATTAATCTTCTTATGTATTGAATATTGTTATAACATAAGTTATGTAATTGAGGGAGCTGAGTAAGAAAGAGAGTGAAAGTTTTCGAAAAATTATAGCAATATATTAGTGAGATCAATAAATATATACATTAAAATGAAAAGTAAAAAGGAATCGATCTTGCTAACGAGCGTTCTGGGGCGTTAGATAAGGATAAATTATATTGGTTGAAATGGTATTAAGTTAGGAATTCATGACAAAATCACGCGTCGTTCGATGTAATTAATGTTAATTTTAGTTTAATATCAACGGGAGAACATAGGGTATTCTAGTTGGGTTTGTTAAATTAGGAAGAAGTATACAAAAAAAAGTGAAAAATTATTAATGCTGATTAACGCTGAACGTATGATCAAACATTCAAATGGAAGAATTGAGAATATAATAATGAGGTCACGGCTTACGTACGTCACTAACTCACTACTAACGTGAGTTTGATTATCAAGTTGGAGTATTTAAATATTTTGCTCCTATTTTTTAATTTCATTGAAAAAAGGCTTTCAATAAATTAAGTTGATTTATTATAGTTGGAAATAAAGAAAAGATCGATTTAGCTTTATAAACTCATGGTTAAAATTAAAACTAATATATACTCACTCTCCAATGTCTCCATTTAGCTATGTTTATTGTTTTGCAATTTGCAACTTCATTTTTTGGTTAGAGAGTTGATACAAAAAAGTTATTCTTATGTGAATTATGTTGAATTGTTAAAAGCAATTAAACATTTAGTTTTAATTTTGACCTTTTAGTTGACATGATACGTACATAAGAACTTTTAAGAATAAATATACTTTGTATATTTCTAAGATTTTAATATACAATATATATATATATACAAATTTGGGTTGGGAGAACTGGCCGGATAGGGCCCTTCTCCTTACCAGCTTTATAAAAATAAATAAATAAATAAATAAATAAAAAATTGATCAGGTGTTTTTGGATGTTCTCTTCCTCACGTATTCTTGGCGCTCAAGAAAAGGGCCCACCTTCCACCCATAATTGAACTGTCTAGACGCCATCTTGACTTCAATTTGTTACACCCAACATAAATTGAAAAAAATAAAAAAAATGTCCCGAAAAAATGGGGGTCCACGTCAGCACTCTAACACCGACTTATTTTGCTGGTATAAAATCATCCAACTCCTCTTTAAAAGCCGTCATACAAATTGTCTTGAAAAGCAAGAAACTACTTTCTTTTTCTAAATAAAATAGATCAAATTAAAATTCCAGTTAATTCTTCTCCCACATTTTGGCGTATATTTTCTTAATCTGACGGCGGTTATTGTTTCCGATCAAGATGATGATGTCACGTGCTGCAACTAGAGCCGCACGATCAATGATGATGGGCATGGTGGTCCCACGCTACTTCTCCTCCACCACTACCACCGCAGTTGCCGGACTCCGGTACAACGAAACGACGGCGTTTAAGCTGCTGAATGGGGTAGGTGGTCATCACGTGAGTGGAGGTTCATCTGGTCACGTGCCTGGAATGGTAGCAGGGTTTACCCGGTTACCGGTGAGGAATATGAGTACGGCGACGTTGCATGATAATTCCTCTGAGGAAAAAGAAAAGAAGGTGACCGATTCGGCCGGTGAAAATGGTGGGAATGATGAGAAGGCGGTTGTTAGTTATTGGGGTGTTCAACCTAAGAAGATCATGAAGGAAGATGGTACTGAATGGAAGTGGTCTTGTTTCATGGTATGCCAATTTTTTTTTAGGGTTCTTCATTTTTCAGTACTCGTATATAATATATATATGATTTTAGGATAGAAACTCGTGACATACCTAATATAATTCGAGGATAGAAAGTTGTTGCAAAAATAATATTATTCGAGGTAAGAAAGTCATCACGGATATGCAATTGATGCAAATACGTTCATAAACTGATAAATATGTTAGTACAACAAAGAACAATATTGTGTGCATTGATGAATAATTATTTTGTTATTAATTTGATTTTTATTGTTCGGTGTAGCCATGGGAAACGTACAAGGCAGATCTGTCGATTGATTTAGGGAAACATCATGTGCCTAAAACATTATTGGACAAATTCGCTTATTATACTGTTAAGTCTCTTCGTTTGCCTACTGATATCTTCTTTCAGGTATATTTCTTTCTTTGGATGATATTTTTCCCTATTTTGCCTTGTTAAATACTTAAATCGTATACTTACTTCGTAATAAAGTACTACTGATTTTTCTAGCGTATGTTTTTAGATCTGAAATGAACGGGTTGGATGTTATTGTTTCGTGAATTTGTATTATTTTGGTTGGTTGATTGATTTGGTTATCATTAATTTATCTACTTCGTATAATTTAGGTCGTTTAATTATCACAAAAAATTATGTGATACATGTCAACTTGGACAAGTTTTATCCGTAGGGTCTTGGGGTGGAGACAAAGAAGGTTCCTTTCCTTGTTAATGGCATATAATTTGATTGGTTAATGACTTTAGGTTTGATAGTGGTGGGGTTAGGTCAAAGGTAGTGGATCTGGCCCACGTTTAATAGTGATTTTTCCCCCTAATGATACCTATTTGAATAGTTATTTTGATCCAAGTCAAAAATTTTATCCTTAAAAAAAAAAAAAAAAAAAAACCCAACTAGTATAACCAAATTAATCATGATATGGTGATATTGCTACATGCTAGTATACTTAACTTGACTTTCTTTTGTACATTGTAATGTAAGATGTAACATGTTTAGTTTTTTTTTTTAGATGCGACAGATTTAAAATAAACTCCCTATCAATTTTTGTTACTACTTTTGCCTTGGTTTCATTGGATGATCGACTTGTTGTTCTTAACAGTTTTTGTGATGTTTAATAGACTTTAGCTAGGTGGTCATGGCTTTTGTTAATGACTCCTACACCAAACTTTTATAGCATATCATACAAAATAGACTTTACCTAGAATGATCCAAACTGAAGAAACTTGAATAGTCATGTGTAACTAACTCTATAGCATCATATCATTTTCTAATCTAATTCACCATATGGCATGATGTAGAGGAGGTATGGATGTCGTGCAATGATGCTGGAAACAGTGGCAGCAGTGCCAGGCATGGTTGGAGGAATGCTTCTCCACTGTAAATCCCTCCGACGATTTGAGCAAAGTGGTGGGTGGATCAAGGCTCTCCTAGAAGAGGCTGAGAATGAGCGTATGCACCTCATGACCTTCATGGAGGTGGTAAAACCTCGGTGGTATGAACGTGCACTGGTGTTTGCTGTCCAGGGTGTTTTCTTCAATGCTTACTTCCTCGCCTACATTGTGTCTCCTAAGCTTGCCCATCGTATTGTGGGTTACCTCGAGGAAGAAGCCATCCACTCATACACTGAATTTCTTAAGGAGATTGACAATGGAAACATCGAGAATGTGCCTGCTCCTGCCATCGCTATTGACTACTGGAGGTTGCCTGCTGACTCTACTCTTAGGGATGTCGTCATGGTGGTTAGGGCAGATGAAGCTCACCACCGAGATGTTAATCACTTTGCATCGGTAAGTCAGTTTACAATATGTTCATTATGCCTTAAGCCACCCCTGCCCCTTAACCCTTTTGGTTTTGTTTTCATCAGTACTTGTATAATTTGTCAACAAATTATAAACGATGTCTTGAATTCCTGATTTTGGTATGCTGGTGTATATTTTCTGAGTTTGAACTTGGCAAATTGTCTCATTTGGTTGTTGGTATTAATGCAGGACATTCACTATCAAGGTCGCGAGCTGAAGGAAGCTCCTGCTCCTGTTGGTTATCATTGAGAAGAGAGATTTATCTAGCTATCAACAGCTAATAAAAATCAAAATTCAGGACTCAGATTTGAAAGACTATTACTAATATGTTCTCTGACGATTATACTTAAGCTAGCGATTGTATAGCTTGCTAGCTTTCGCTAGCTATAAGCGTATTACTAATGTCATGTAAATACCTTGTACTACCTTGGGAGTTTTTTCGTCGACTCTACTCGCAAAATTTAATTGAATGATATTATTACTCTTATCACATTATTAAGTTTCTTACTATGATTTCCTTCCTACATCATTTACATGCCAGGGGACTAAATGCTGCAGGAATCCAGGGAAATAAATCTCTGGTATGAATGCCTTGTTATTCTTTGCAGCTTCGTTTTTTGGTGTATATATAGTGTTTCCTAATCGTATTTTGAAAATGGAACCCTTGCATAATCTTACATTCTTATTACATTATTATAAGTATTAACCAAGAAAAGCTTCATATCAGTATTATCAACAACAGAACAAGCTAATCAGAGAATCTAAAAGGTTAGCAGCATGCAACTCAGGAAGAATGCAGATAGAGTACATCATTATGTTCAAGGTGTAGGCACTAGGCAGTGTGTAGCTCTGGAATACGCCACCAATATTGTCTCCTGCACGGCTGCCAGGGCTGCACCCTAAGCTAGAATCCGTGAGGGTGGTGAAGATCGATACGAAAGTTGATCAAACAAATAATGGCCTAATTTGGGAAAGAGGCTTGAAATATACCATCAGTGGAAGCAAATAAGTTTGAAGTGATTGATTAATTTGCTTCCCTAGAGGGAGTACTTGATTCTCCAATTTTGTCCAGAGGCTCAGTTCTACAATATGCAATACTGTCTAGTGTCTACGTTTATGTAATTCTAATGATCAATTATTGATTACAAGTTATGTCGTTATGAGCTTATGAACAAGTTCATAATGCCCTTACATTATGACATGACCAAGTTCATAATGCCCTTACATTATGACATGAGAGTGTCAAATTCTACTGATGTTGGCTTTGCTTCGCTTAACTTTGTAGACACAAATACATGCATTGTACTTGTATTAGTTTTTCTTGTTACCTTTTACTACATGTATGCTCTAAGGCAATCACAAATTCACAATTTCACAACTCGCAATCTTAGGCTTGACTTTTATACTTTAAAAGTGATTATCTAATGGAATTCTTCTAGTAGAGGCAAAAGAAACTTGGATTTAACTTGATAGATTTGATTGTTGATGGGATGTGTATCCACGCTAAAGAAAATAAAAGGTTGTGTCTGCCTAACGGCCTGAGGTTACAAAGCTAAGGCCTTGTTTGGTTGGATGTAGGAATTTCTACTTCCTATGGGAAGTTCCACTTATCAAGGGGGGACTAGGGGTGACTAGGGGTACTATAATATAAGAGTTCATAAATAACATTCAACACAAACATACATTATCATATAAATCTTCTAAAAAAACAATAATTTGACCAAGATCGATCCAACTACTGTATTCGAAGTATTGTTGGAGTTGGAGTAGATAACGACCTAAAATTAAATAAAAAGAACATATTGACGCAAACCAAGTAATGAAAGTGATGATTATAGAAATGTGGAACTGAGTACATGGCTTCAATGCACAACTCTTCAAGTAACCAAGTTATGGCCAAAGAAATGTAGAAAAGCATACGAAACGCTCCCATAAACAATAGTGAACTACAAAATGAGCACATTTAATAGTATGTTTAAAAACAAATAAGGAAAAAAGAATATATTGATATATTGATACATTATTTGAATGCTATTGATAGGATGAACAAATAAAGAAAAAAAAAGGATATAATCTATATTTGGTAAAAGTTGGTTTCTTTGGTTCTTTGACTGACACTTTGACAAAAACCGACTTCATACTGTTTTCTTTTATTTTTTAACGAAAGTATGCAAGAGCTTTATTAAAGAATTCATTCCCATTAAACAAGATATCTTGCACCCAAACCCTCAAGCATTCGCATACATACATTCTTCTATTTAGCATGGAGGTTCAAACTAATATGGATAACATGCACACAACAACGAATGCTGAAATTAAAGAGGCAATGTTTCATATTGGTGATGATAAGGCTCATGGTTTTACAGCGGGGTTATTTAAATGGATCACATTGGGGGGTGGTTGGCACTCAGATAATGAGTGCGATCCGATATTTTTTTGCGCATGGTTATTTATTGAAAGAATGGAATCGCACGTTTTTTACTTTACTGCCGAAGGTTGATCACCCGGAAACCCCTCCTCAGTTTCGTCCGATTGGCCTTTGTAATGTGTTGTATAAGTGCATTGCGAAGTGTCTCTCGCATCGTTTACGTCGTGTTTTGCCGTCTTTGATTTCGGATACCCAAAATGCTTTCGTTCCAGGTCGGATTATGGCTGATAATGGATTACTGGCTCATGAATTGCTTTCATTTATGAATTCTTCTAATTCTAAAGCTTGTTCGGCAGCTTTGAAACTTGACATGAATAAAGCCTATGACAGGGTGAATTGGGAATTTTTATGGGAAGTTTTGAGGCGTTTTGGGTTTCCTCCGTATTGGGTTCATATTTTACAGCAATGTGTTACTACTGTTTCCTATCAAATTCTGGTTAATGGTTCGCCTTCTCGGCCCTTCAAGCCTAAATGTGGCCTGCGTCAGGGCGACCCTTTATCTCCATATCTATTTGTTTTATGTATGGAGATTTTTTCCTTAATGTTGCGTCGGGATGAACAACGCGGCTTGTTCCAGGGGTTGAAGATTTCTCGTCGGGCGCCTTCTGTGTCTCATCTGTTTTTTTGCTGATGATGCTTTGTTATTTTTTCGGGTTTCGTCGTCGGCATGTGATCAGATTCTTTCAGTTACGAATGAGTTTTGTTCCATTTCTGGTCAGATGATAAACGTGCAGAAGTCGTTTGTGAAATTCGGCTCTAATACTCCTGATGATTTCCGAGATTATTTGTCTTCGGCCTTACGAATGGAAGCAAGGTCGTCTTTAGGCTCTTATCTAGGGCTTCCGGTTGAATTAGGGCGAAGTAAATGTCAGGCGTTCCAATTCCTGTTGGATAAGGTGGTCCAACGCCTCTCGTATTATGCTTCGCTTAACCTTTCTTCGGCGGCAAAGCTGGTTATTATTAATTCGGTGCTGGTGGCTACTTTTAATCATATTTTGTCTGTGTTTAAAGTTCCAACTACAGTATGTGAGCGGTTGATTCTATGTTGACTCGGTTTTGGTGGAAGTCAGGTAAAGATACTAAGGGGTTGGCCTTGGCTTCATCTACGATTCTGCAATCCCCAAAAGGGTTAGGGGGGTTGGGTATTCGTCATCTACGGTCTTTTAACCAGGCCCTTTTGGCTAAACAATCTTGGCGTTTTATGAGACAGCCGCAACTTTTAGCTTCTCGGGTTCTTAAGGCTAAGTATCCGAATTTGTTTTCGCATTCTCCTTCTCTTTCTGTGTCTCGACCTTCTTGGGGTGGTCAGGGTCTTCTTGAAGGAAGTCTTGTCTTGTCCAAAGGCTTGGCTTGGAAGGTTGGTTCTGGGGAGAATATTAATATCCTGTCTGATAGCTGGATTCCTCATGTCAAGATTGAGTTTAAAGAAGATATCCCTGATAATGAACGTCCTCGTGTTGTTGCTGAATTACTGTTAGCGGGTTCGCGGACTTGGAATACTTCTTTGATTCACCAGCTGTTTCCTCCTCTTGTTGCTTCTTCTATTATTGGTCTTGATATTCCCAGAGAGAAGATTGACGACTTTGTATACTGGAAGTATACTAAGGATGGTCTGTTTTCTACTAAGTCAACCTACTCTTGTTTAGTGTCTCAGCATTTTAATTTGGACCTTGATTGGAGTACTGTAGCCTGTTGGAAACAGTTGTGGGGTACTCCTTTTCTTCCAAAATGGAAGATGTTTGCTTGGAGAATCATGCATAACGTTCTTCCTATGACTGCGTTACTTGCTCTTAAGGGTCTTCCTGTAGATCCTACTTGTATTTTCTGCCGTGATGATTCAGAGTCGGTCATTCATTTGTTTCGGGACTTTCGTCTGACGCACTGGCCTTGGGAGGAGGTCAAATTACCTCGTTTACTTACTCCCTCTGTGTCTGGTCCTTGGCAATGTGGTTCTCGGATTGTATCTCTGCCCTGATTGATGTGAGGGACTGGGATAATTTGGATAGGATGTTTGGTCTTCTGTGGGCCATTTGGCTGACTAGGAATAGTGTGTGATTCCGATCTGAGGTTTTTTCTCCGCATTCTATTCTTGAGTTAGCCTTTTCGTGGTGTGATAGTGGAAAAGCGGCTCGCTTGTTTGGTGGTTCTTGTTGTGGTAGTCCACCTGGGTTTCATAATTCTCCTTTGATTCAGGTGATTAGGGGTGGCAGTGGGGATATTTGTGATATGTCTATTTGTTTTGATGGTGCTCGGGATGCCATTACTCATCAAGCTGGGCAGGTTGGTGTGTTGTGGATTCTTCTGCTGTTCCTCTGGTAAGTGGGGGGGCTCGTGCCTGTATGGCTAACTTGGCTCTTCAAGTTGAGCTTCTAGCCTGTTTTTTTTGCTCTGAAGCATGCTTCCCGTCTTGGTGTTTCTCGTGTCTTGCTGCTTACTGATTGCTCAGTGATTTCTCGGTTACTTTTAGGGCCTGGGATTGCGGATATAATTGTGGCTTGGGTTATTAAGGATATTCGTGCATTGTTGGAGTCGTTCACAGTTTGTCACATGTGTAAGGTGCCTAAGGCTTCTGTTTCTTAGGCTCATGATCTAGCAGGAGCGGCTCGGCGAAGGGAGTTACTGTCTTTTGTTTTTTAGTTTTGATTTACTGTTCTTTGTTCTTTGTTCTCCTTGTCAAAAAAAAAAAAAACTATGATGCACTGCGTGTTGTACAGACATTATTGCTTTCTATCTTCTACCCTAAACTTACGAGATGTCTGTAGTCTCTTTTCTCCGCTACATTTTATTTGTTCTTACAAACTGACTCCTCGTTTCTTCTTAAATTCTATACCTATTTTATACTTTTTAGTAATCAGTATTGATTGAAGAATAAAGCTACTCACATGTCATATCTCTTTTTTCTTTCTTTTTATATCCTTAAATGTACGTACTTATATTCTCTATCATTATTTCGTAGTACGTCTCATCAACATTTGAACCAAATTTACTTATATATATATAAGTTTCTATCATATATTTCACTTTACGTGCGTTTAAACTTGGAGGAATTGTGTTTGTTTTCATTCCGACACCAAGGAATAAGAGATTTATTAAAAACAAACACACACACAATTAAAAAGTTGCGTACAATAAAATCATCTCAACCTTGCTAAGGTAGTTGCTACTGCTGTTGCTCGGCTTCAAGCTTCTTAAGAATAAGCTTTCGTGGTAGTGAACTGATCGAATTGTTGCCAAAAAAGGGGAAGTTTGTGTACAAATTCTACAACACCAGCAATTGCGATAGTCAATTTCGAATTGATTAGTACTCTCTAATTACAGGTAACATATCTAAACCCTTATATATATAATTGGTCAATTTCGAATCACATGTAATATCTTGCCTTAATTACTTGGCCAATATATAGTATATAGTATATAGTATATAATATAATATGAATTTGTTATTAGGATTTTTAATTTGTTATTTAATTTTATATAAATGTTTATCATAGTAATAATTTAGAACAATAAATTTATTAACATATGATTAAGAATTGAAAGAATTAAATTAGACCTACACATCTTACACTTTAAGTTTAACTTATAGGTGTCAAAAATAGATTTGTTCGACCCGAGTACATGGCACTGGTAAACTGCAAAATATGGAACTGAAATATGGAACAGAGTACATGGCTTCAATGCGCAACTCTCTAAGTTGTCGCCAAAGAAATGTAGAATGGTATATGACCCAACCGCTACCAAGAACAGTAGCGAACTGGTAAACTGCAAAATGAGTACAATAATAAATATTTATATTTAGATATCATCAATTTACAACATAATATAAATAATCAAGAGTTGACCATGTCGCCTAGCTTACCCCATCAACAACAGCAAATGCTCTCACAACTTGACGATTATAACCCTGGTTTGTCAAAATAAAGTACAAGTCTGCAGTCGCCATTGAAAAGGAGCTCTTTCCCAAATTAAAGTCAAGAAGAACCGCAATTCCCAAATTGCAGCCAAAGTTTTAAGAATTCCCAAAGTACCGTCCACGTCACCGGTTCAGGGGGAAGAAATTTTAAATCCGGTCTACAGCAAAACCGCTACCTGAAGTAGCGGTTTTTACTAATAAACCGCTACTTCAGGTAGCGGTTTCTTTTTAATAAACCGCTACTTCAAGTAGCGGTTTTTGTTTAATAAACCGCTACTTCAAGTAGCGGTTTTCTAGCAGGTATAATTTCCTGATTTCACTTTCCTCTTTCATTTTCGTCTTCTCACCAAAATCCCATCCACGCCTTCCACCAAAATCACACCTCCTTCAACGGAAGCCGGCGCAGCCAAGGAATCCACCGACGCCGCCGGAGCATTCCTCAGCAACGAAGGCCGCCGCTGTTGACGCCGAGGGTTCGACGTGTCCATCTATCGTGTGCGCATACTGCTTCTGGACTACCATACTACAGAGATGCGTTTGACCATCAGCGCGAGGACCAGGTATAATCGGTGTTTCTTTTTTTTTGTGCATTGTATTTCTTCCATTATGTTAGTCATATACATGTTGACATACTTGTTTTGGGAATTAGATGATTTGGCAGCCATATACTGAGGCGGTGATGGATCGACTTCCGGAGATTTGTCGCTCAGACATGCACATTTGGCGTTCACGGGCACCTCTGATATGCTTTGACGTCGTTGAGTTCCACCTCCCAGACCGAGTCCTTCGTCAGTTCGGGTTAGACCAGCCGATCCCACAGGATGTAGACACGGACGTTGCTCTACACAGGAAGGATCGAAGGGGAAAGCGTAATTGGGAGATTCGGCATTCGGACCATGTACACGAGTGGAGTCGACGAGAGGCATTAGTCGTCCAGGGATACCCGTTCACTGGGACTTCTTCCCCGGCCATGACAGAGTACATGGCTTGGTACCGTCGCATCACGAGACTGGTCATTACTCCACCTTCGCAGGAGCGCCCCCCGAGTCATTACCAGCCAGCTACCTCTGACCTCCTGCTTGTATGAACTTCACTTCATTTCAATCTAGTTCTTACGTTTTTGATTTCATTTTACTAACATTAAAACTACACTTAAATGTAGGCACATGCATTTGCTGATTTGCACGTCCAGCTATCGGGAGCTACTGAGACCATCTCCCACTTGCCACCAGAGACGGCTATACCATTTGCCATACAGACGATGCAGGGTTTTACATCATTTTGTGGCCAAACCTTGTCTAGGGTGGGGCAGTCACACCTTATTCAGCAGCCTCGACCGTCCACGTCTTCATCTTCTACTGTGCACACTATGCCGATCAGACCACCACCTCATCGTGGAGGCCATTCAGCACGTGCCTTCCGTCCACCGACTCCTTCTCAGCATACTATCATGACATCTCCTCCACTAGTGCATCGCCAGTATCAGAGAAACCGACGGCGTAGCAACACTACGTCTGGGGTTGGAGTTGGCCTGGATGACATTCCAGAGGAGACAGCTGCATCATCTTCATCGTCACCTCATGGGAAGAAGCAACGCCCGAGCTAAGTGTATATTTTGGAACTAAACTAATTTTTTTGTAAATGCTTAGAATTGGATTTTGTTATATTTAATCAATTGAAAAATATTCGACTTTGCAATTTCGACTTCCTTAGATCTTCATAAACTTGTTATTTATGGTGGTTGTGTTGAAAATATGCTATATATCTCATGTTTTACAGGTACACAACTTGCAGGTTTTTTTTTTGAGTGATTATGCAAGTTTGAAAAAAAACCAGTCCAGGGTAAACCGCTACTTCAAGTAGCGGTTTTTAAAGTAAACCGCTACTTGAAGTAGCGGTTTTAAACTAAGAAACCGCTACTTGAAGTAACGGTTTATTGCAAAGAAACCGCTACTTCAAGTAGCGGTTTTAAACTGGACCGGAAAAAAAAACCGGTTTTTTAACCAGTGCTTACGTGGACGGTAGAATGGGAAAATAAAAAGTTTTGGCTGCAATTTGGGAATTGCGGTTCTTCTTGACTTTAATTTGGGAAAGAGCTCATTGAAAAGCTCTATATGAGCTGTAAGCCGGCAGCTGCAACTACAAGTTTGAAGATATACCTCGTATAAGGGAGATGCATAATTGAATGTAAGGATGAAACGAGGAGTTTATAAGGAAAAGACATGTATCGGAGAGTAGAGACTACAACCATCTCGTAGGTTCTGGATAAAGATACGATCAACCCAATAGAAAACAATGTCTGTACGACACGTATTGCAAAATGGCCAATTCTAGGCGCAATAGTTGTGGCCACAGGCAAGTTATCGATCTATATGAGTTTCAACCTCGATTTAACCTACACATACAGTAAATCAAATTAACACAATCTGTACTTTAAAGGTATTAAAAATAGATCCATTCCAATTCAACCCTAAAATAACCAGAGTTATTTCGACTCGTATGATAACACAATAAATATTACCAAAATCCGACACAAATACCCAAATTAACATCAATTTGCGTAAATGGTATAGATATATAGCTAGAATTATATGTGCTTTATGCCGGCACGTGATAAACGCTTCCTTAGAACTAGCTTACCATATGGAGGTGTATAAAAGCTTTTTTTTCTAGGATACTGTTTACGTACATTTTATTTTTATTCTAAAAATCAATGAAAAAGAGTAGATTGCTGAACTAGTCACACCACACTTAGCAGATATTTCATCCAATTAAACTAGGATTGACGACTAGAATATTAATAAAGTTGACATAATTTTATTTGGAATGAAATTTGACAAATCTACACTTTCTAAATCATGACAACATATCTACTACTACTTGTATAGCTTATGAACAGTGTAGTGCATGTGTGTTGCCATTGTAATTTAGTTAATGAACTTGGTTTAGCAATCACAAGATTAGTTAATTAAGTGTGTGTGCGGTGTTAGGTAAGTATTTGTGTGTCCCTATTAAATTGTAACTTATTAGTTAGTTAATTTGATCTTAAACTGGTTTATTAGCAATTTTTAAAATATCTAGCTAATTAAGGCCCTGTTCTTTTGAGCTTCTGGGCAGAGTAGAGCAGATTTCAGCAGATCAGAGCCGAGCAGAGCAGATTTCACTACTACTACTACTACTGCTGCTACTACTACTACTACTACTGCTGCTCCTGCTCCTGCTGCTGCTGCTGCTACTACTACTACTACTACTACTACTACTAGTATTTATTTATTAATTATTATTATTATTATTAAATATTAATTATTATTATTATTAAATATTAATTATTATTATTATTATTATTATTATTATTATTATTACTACTACTACTAATATTATCGCATTATTATTATAATCATTAAATTTTTAAAGTTAAATATTAATTATTATTATTATTATTATTATATTAATTATAATTATAATTATTATTATTATTAATAATAATAACTAATATTTAACTTATTATTATTATTAAAAATTAATAATTTTTATTATCTTTAAATATTAGTTATTATCTTAATATTAATTGTTATTATAAAAATAAATTATTTTTATTATAATTAATATTATTAGTTATAAGTATTATTATTACTATTAGTATAATTACTATTATTATTATTAAATATTAATTATTATTATTAAATATTAATAATTAATTATTATTATTATTAAATATCAATAATTAATTATTATTATTATTAATTATTAATTATTAATTATTATTATTATTAAATATTAATTATTATAATTAAATATTAAATATTTATTATTATTAATTATTAATTATTATTATAATAATTCAATATTAAGTATTAATTTTAAGTAGAGCAGAGCAGATTTCAGCAAAGCAAAGCATATTTCAGCAGAGTAGAGCAAAGCAAAGCAGCTCTAAAAAACGGGCCTAAGTGTGTGCGCGGTGTTGAATGTTGATGACATTGTAGGAATTTCAGCATGTAGATTATTTAATTGAGGAATGAACTTGTATTATTATTAAAAACAAAAAAGGTAAAACATACAATTGAGTACATCTATCAACTCGATCAGGTAGTGTTTAATTCCAAAATTAAAGCAATCAAGTATAAAATTAAACGACCAAGCAATAACAAAACACAAGTATACGTAACTAAGGCAAGACATTCCATGGGATTCGAAATTGACCAATTATATATAAGGGTTTAGATATGTTACCTGTAAATGTAATTAGAGAGTACTAATCAATTTGAAATTGACTATCGCAATTGCTGGTGTTGTACACGAATTTCCCTCTTTTTGGCAACAATTCGATGAGTTCACTACCATGAAATTAAAGCTTATTCTTAAGAAGCTTGAAGCGGAGCAGCATATAGTAGCAACTACCTTAGCAAGGTTGAGATGGTTTTATTGTACGTAACTTTTTAATTGTGTGTGATTGTTTTTAATAAAGCTCTTATTCCTCCAAGAGTTTAAACTAACGCACGTAAAGTTAAATATGATAGAAACTTAATTAGGAGGGAGAATATATATTTATTAGAATATAGTATGCCAGTGCTTGAGGGTTTGGGTAGAAGATATCCCATTTAATGGGAATGAATTCTTTAATAAAGCTCTTGCATACTTTTCGTTTAAAAAAAATATATAAAAAAAAAAAAAAAAAAAAAGAGTATGAAGTCGTTTTTTGTCAAAGTGTCAGTTAAAGGAAAAATGAAACCAACTTTTACCAAATATAGATTATATTCTTTTTTTCCTTATTTATTTGTTCATCCTATCAATAGATTCAAATAATATATCAATATATCTATTTATTTATATCTATATACTAAAGTAATCACCGAATAGGACACTTGGCATAATTTTGTGAAAAATTTTCCCTTCAAAATGCTTTTTTTTTTTAATTTTTTTTTACAAAAAAAAATTCTATTAAAAAAAATAACTTTTAATAAATTATATTTATACTTCGTATATATTTGTAACACATGACATGAATCAGATACGAAAAAAAGTATTACATAAGTCATTCAATTAACTCTATTTCAATTGACTAATATTATTATTAAATAAAAAAAAGTATAATATTAAAACAGACACCAGAAATGACACGTGTCAAATAATACTGGTGTTGTTTTTTTTCTCTAAAAACCCCCCTCTCCCTCTCCCCCTCCCCCTTTTTTAATTTTGTCAATATCATCTACTACTTACTATAAATTTTGCAAAAATATTCAACCTATCATATAACAATGTATGGAGCGATTTTCAAAGGGCGAACAGTACAATACTATTGTTCTCTCCAAAAGCATCTCATTATCATCCGAGTAGCCAATTCTTTGAAGAAGATGGATAGTGGTGAATTTCAAGAAGGTTCTACACCAATTTAGCTTAGTCACCCCCTTGTGGAAGGGCACGATAGGTGTGAAACAACTACAAATTTGATGCAAGAAGATCCAGCAAGTCACGAGTCATCATGTAAACTACGTCGACACTCCTACCAATTTCGCCCGTTTCTTCCCCTCTGCAGACTTCCGTTCACCCAACAACGTCCTCCTTTGAAATTTTGTTGGGTTTTGTCTCGTCTTCCCGTTCCAGGTTTAGAAGGAAATATCACCCTGCATAGTAGTTCTCCTGTGCTTTTTTACTAACTCTTTGTTTTGCACGTTAATCGGCTCTACAAGAATAGCATCTTCTTCCATCGGGTATACTTGGTTTCTTAGTCATAAGAACATTAAGAAGTTGTATGGTCCGACCCCTAATGTTCTATCGTGTAATCTTGTTTTCTTTACTTAGGGCTTGTTCTCTTCCGTTGAAATTCAGTTCAGTTCAGTTCAGTTCAACTCTTAATTTATGTCTAATGATATTGTTAGAGATATAAAGCCAAATTTCATTCATTTAAGCTCTTATTACAACGACAACAACAACAACAACAACAACAACAACAACAACAACAACAACAACAACAACAACAACAACAATAATAATAATAATAATAATAATAATCAATAAGTAATAATTAATAATAATAATAATAATCATCAATAATTAATAATAATAATAATAATAATAATAATCTATACTATATACTAAAGTAATCACCAGAGTTATCCCTTAAGTACACATGTCACATTCACAACAAAAAATTTCCCGCCCAAATATTTTTTAGCTTTTTTTTAAAAAAATTCTTTTTTTCCCTAAAAAAATAACATGATAAAAAAAATTTAATGAAAAAAAACTTACAATAATTTATAAAATATTTTAAATAATGTATCTAACATGAGAATTTTAAGGATAGACATGATATGAATTCAAATCCAAAAATAAAAAATGTTGCATATAAGCCATTTCATTTAAACTAACTCCATTTTAATTGAATTTTATTAATTAATTTATTTATTTTAATTTTCAAGTCTTATTATTATAAATCCGTGCATTTGCACGGGGATAAAACTAGTAATAATAATAATAACAACATTAATAATAATTATAATAATAATAATAATAATAATAATAATAATAATAATAATAATAATAATAATAATAATAATAATAATAATAATAATAATATTGATACAATTCATTGTTCAAATGGTTCTATAGTATATTTTTAATATATTTTCCATAAATTTTATAATTATATAGTATATTTTTCGTAAATATTTTAATATCTACATTTGTATATACACATATGT